TCTGACAGGAGATCAGCCACAGCCTCCAGAACCAGGGCACAGGAACTGAGACCAAAACCTGCCTGAGGCAAGTAAACGGTGGAGCGCTGCAGGAAACAAGAAGGTGGTTCCAGCAGTGACAACCTTCTTGAGCCCAGGTATGAATGCAGTTTTGGAAACTGCTACTCCAGCTCCACAACATGCTCATAGATCCTGAGGAAGGTACCAAAATCAGTGGTGCTCTTCTGTATTACTGACTGCTGATGACCAGCAAGGGCAGCTGATTGGAAAGCTTCATTTTTCCAGTTCTTGAAAGTCTTTTAATGCTGGATCATCCACCTGGCACTTGTGGGCCTGCCTGTGTCTGCAGTATTATGCCCAGTTTCATGAACAGCAAAGAAACATGTCCAGTTACACCATTATAATGCCATATGTGGTCACATATTACCTGCAGATTTTGTCCTGAGAGTTTTAAATATTGGGTAAGGACCTTGAAAGGCAAGAAATGCAGTTTAAAAAAATTAAAGATGGGGGGATGCCAACCATGTGAGGGCTTTGCTTTCCAACAGCCACTTGTTATCTCCGGAGAGGCTGATCATCAGGTAAGCAGGTGAGTAATGATGGTGCTCTCAGACCTGCAAATTAATGAGCTGCATCAGGAAATGTGATATCCTGCTAGAATCATGCTAACAAAAATTTGTTTTGTTCTGCTCTAGATTTCTCAGTGAAACAGCCTGTTAAAGCACTTTGACTCAACAGGTAGAGCCCTGCAGCTCTGTTTTCGCAGTTATAAATCTTGCAATAAGTGGAGGGCAACCACCTCTAAAGCGGGAAGGAAGATATTGGGGCAAATTTTTAATTCAAATTGTTGAAGTTTTGGTCTAAGTTCTGGAGGGATGCAGAGCATCCTTCTCAGCACAACTGGGTGAGCATGCGAGGAAATGCTGAGGGCTACCTCCAAACCTGCTGGAGAAAGCGGAGGTTGTTGAGACCATCACTTACCATCTTGGAGATGTTGGCTGATGGCCTCCCCCTGCTCACCTACCCTGTCTCAGCTTATATTTAGAGTATTTAGATTTCTTCTTGCTGCATACAGAACTCGGGCCTAAGCAGGGAACCTTCAGCATGATGCAAATATCAACCCTGTCAGACTGAGCAGTGGGTGAGGATTTCAGGATTTGGTATGGATGAATGTGGCTGGATGAGGCCATACAAACAAATCACCTTCTTCAAATCAGGGGAAAAGCACCATCAAACACTGAGTCCTCAGCTAGCGATGAGTCAGTTATCCTCACTGACTTTCATCACACCAGTTGCTGCAGTGCTGGGAGGCAGTCAGTGACCTGGAGGCACTGTCTACCTGTCCTGTAGGCAATCTGTATTAAAATGGAAGAAAACCAGCCCTCTGAACAAGGACAACACTGCCCTGACCATTACCCAAGGCCAGCAGGTTGGCCAGCTGAGAGCCAAGACAATACCACCAGGATGAAGCAGAGGTGTGATGGGGATATGAGATCTGGGGGCTGTGAGCTGTGCCTGGTGGGAAGGGGCTTTGCCATGCTGGCACTGAGGTTGTTGTACCACAACAGCAGTACCTGGGACAGAGGATGTTGCCAAGCTCCATCTGCAGCTGATGAGACAGACACCCACCAGACCCAGGTGGGTGCTGGGACACAAGGGTAGGCAGTCTGGAGAGAGACCTGTAAACAGTGTGATTGCACAACACCCCACACCCGCCTGCCTCACCCAAGTGCCCCAGGCTGCTCTTACTTCCACCTGAGTGTTTGAATTCCTGTGAACAAAGAAGGCGAGAAATTAACTCAAGTTTGGGGTTGGGGTTGCTTTTTTAATAAACACACAGTACTCAGAAGTAGTGGCCAGAAGTCATGAGAGCAGAACATCCTTTCACACAACCAAAGAGAGGGCACAAGCTAGCTGACAGCCCTGGTGAGATGCCGAGTACCTCGAAGCAGGGCAGCAGCCTACTGCCTTGAACCCAGCAAAGAAGTTGCCTTGAAAATGCTGGTCCCAAAAGGCAGTTGCATTGTGGAGGAGGATGCACATGAAGGAGGAACAAATGCAATTGAATTAAACTGCTGCAATAAGAAAATTCAGTGTGGACACTCATTTCCAAAAGCCAGCAGCACAGAGTTGCAAAATGCTTCCTCACAGACCCTCTCCATGCTCTCCCTGGTGTTTCTCTCCTTGCAGAGCCATTGTCCCCGGGGCAGGGCTTTGATCCCCTGCTCTGGGCTTCTGGGAACAGCAGCTGAACCACAGAGATAGCACAGCCCTTGCAATGTGACAGCCCTTGGCCACAGCCCAGGGTGGTGGCTCTGGGGTCCTTTATTGGGGTGGGAGGGTAAATGAGTTTGGCTGGGGTGGGGAGGGTGCTGCTGCAGCTCTCTGACAACTCTCCTAGCAGCTGTAGAGGTGGCATGAGATAAGAGGATGTTACATGGACACTGGTGAGCTGTTTGGGAGCTGCCTGGTGCTCCTGCCTCTGGCACCTGCTTCCTGGGACAGAGCAGGAGCATGTCTGTGCCTGTTCAGGCTGCCTACTAGGATGGGGTTTTGTGGTTCTCACTCTCCAGAGATGGAGATGTGTATTTAGATATGTATATTGGGATGTATATTTAGCACAGAAGGTCCCACAGAACATCTCCTGGGTGGGGGCCTGCACTAGTCCAAGGTCCTAAATAGGACCAATAAAAGTCATAAGTCTAATCTCTCTCTCAGAAATGTTGGCCATTTCTGATAAGTTGCAACTGAGGAGAGCTTAGGGCCAAATTTGTGACCTTGACATTGACCTGCTAAAATGAATAAATAATCAATTTGAGTTTACAGTGTCAAAAGTGATTTTTCTCATTTTTCTTCCAAATCCACTCATTACAGCAGTAAATTTAACACAGTACCATTATACAGTTCTGCTGCTCTCCTGCTCCTGACTCTCCTCCAGCCAAGCACAGTGCAAAGCTGGGACAAACAACTCATATGATCATCCAAGACCACTGTACACCCCACATAACAGAAGAGCCTCCAAGTCTCATGGAGCTCCTGGTTTCATTAAAATTGCTTCAGGGAAAACATTTTAGTTGACAGAAACAGATCGTTTGTGGAGTTGGATGAGAAAAACTATGTTGTTCAAAAAAGGCAAATTAATTAATATGAAATAAATGCTGACTTTTTAAAGATTATGAATATTCCCCTCTTCTTCATCCCTGTGTTCTCCCTTCCCTGTGCTATTTATTTAAAACGTGGAACCAGGTGGCACACGGAGTCAGTTTCTCCAGGAAGCCAACTTCTACCTCCAAATGTAGGACTGTGGCATCTGTATGTATCCAAACGCAGGGATCAGTGTTGAAAGTGAGTATGAATAGGTAGGTAGGAGGGACCAGAGAGAAGGGGAGAGCAAGGCAGAGGCGGGGAGAGCAAGGCAGAGGCAGGGACAACGTGGTATTTCCAAGATCTGCACCCCAAAACCAGGTTATGGCTGTTCTCGTATCCGGAAACAAGTTTTGGATTTTGCAAACGCCCCCGAATCATTCCCAAA